TCGCATAAATATCGCACAATTTGAAATTATCACCTCGCACGAAAATGCTTTTCAAATCGCATAAACTGGGGTCTCTAACACCAAGGGAACCCAATTTTCGGTGCTGTGGCCTTTTATTCACTATTGTTAAGGCTTGCATTGTTCGTATGTCATTATCATATGAAGCAGCATGCTTGCATATGATTTCCCTTTTCATTCGGCTTCTTGTTTCGGAATCGGCTTCTCGTGAGTAATCCTGCGGATTGTGGCGCGGGTGTGCCGCTTCACTTTCGATCACGTGATCCGTTATCACTTCGCAAGATCGTTATAATTTTATGTGCGGCAATTTATAGATTCCTTAATTAAATCATTACCCTGAAAATTTTCTGATCTTACACTTGACCGGTAAGCGCATAAAGATAAGTTAATACCGTGTGAACAAACACATGAAATCAGTTAAGTATATAATTTAATAATTGCTTAATTTAGAACTATGATGTAATTCTTTATTATCGGCTTGGGGAGGGTTGCTGACTTTATTCCGATTTCAGCCGTAAACATAAAAGAGGCTTTTTCTTTTAAAAAGTAAACAAGTATATGTCTGGTTACTAAGGGCAGGGTGCGTGAGAATTCGAAACTTTGTAATTAATAATTCCTACCAGGTAATTACTTAAATTACTACGTACACGTGGAACAATTATGCAGATAACCTTGATTTACTGTATATAGGACATTACAAGTTTGTAGCGAGGTCTTTTTAAGTGCGCAGTAATATTTAGGGATTATTATTTATGGCAACTACTGAACTAGGTTCGCTTTAATGAAAAATGATTATTCCAGAGGAAAAGTATACTAAAGAAACAAAAAAAAAAAGATGACTTCTCTACTAAAGGCCAAATCTATACTTTTTTTGGCCAATAACGGCGATATTCGGTGCAATTATAATTGCTGGTCCTGGGAGCATATCCTATTAATTTATGCGTCAATTGCACTGGTGTATGCTACTTAATATAATTATTCAATAAAGTTTAATATCCGGCATAGATGTATCTAAATAAATATTCACATGCGTGTAATGCTTTTTATTAATATTTATATAATTATAATAATTATTAGTATTACTAAAGTTCAGTTTCAAAATGGAACTGGTTATATATCAGGTTAGATCAATGGTAAGATACGTATAAATGGAAAATGCGATCATTAATTTATCGAATTTATCACTTCTGTTATTCTTGCATTTAAGTGCGCACATTAAATATTTTTTTCGTGATGAATTTTGGAAATAATTTACGCTTTTATCTCAATGGTACAGGTGTTGAAATCGATAATCCTGATCCAGATACTACCTTACTTAATTATATTCGGTCTATTGGACTAACTGGGTATGTTAAAAACTAAGAAATTATTTAGATAAAATTAATTAACGAAATTAATTAAATTTCTCTATAATTTTTGAAAATCTTTTTTAGAACAAAGCTAGGATGCGGAGAGGGTGGTTGTGGTGTGTTATAATGCTTTTTAAATAAAATTTCAATTAAAATACTCATTTACTCATTTATTATATTATTATTATTATTATTATTATTATTATTTTATTATTTTTAAAAAGGCGCTTGCACCATAATGATATCTTCATATGATAAAATATCCGACAAGATATCTCATATTTCTGCTAATGCTTGTTTGACTCCATTATGTTCTGTTGATGGTAAACATATCATAACTATCGAAGGAATTGGAAATGTTAAAAATCCTCATCCTATTCAAGTATGAATTTCACACATTAATAGCATCAATTTGTCTTTGATATTTTTAACTTATCCTATAAATCAATGGTTACAATAAATTAATAGGAACGTTTAGCTTTATTGCATGGGTAAATTCACCTTTTATTTCATATCATATTTGAATTGGTATATTTTAAATATTTGTAAAGTTTTAAAATCATAAATATATTATGACTATATAGTTCGCAATGTGGATTTTGCACTCCAGGAGTTGTAATGTCACTTTATAGTTTATTACGTAATAATCCCAATCCATCTGAGGAAGAAGCCGAAGGATGTTTTGATGGTAACCATAAATCTCTTATACAGTACTCCGACATTAATAATAATAATAATATTTAATTACATGATAAAATATTCGATTGTCATTAGGTAATCTTTGCAGATGTACTGGTTATCGCCCTATATTGGATGCTGCAAAGACTGTAAATACTAAAATAGTAGATATATACTTATTAGGTTTCATTAAGAACTTATTAACCTTTTATTTATTTATTTTTTTTGATAGTTTGCGAATAACATGTGTGTAGAGAGTAATGGCTCCTATGAACCTCAAGAGGTACAAAAGGATATGCAGTATAAATAAAACCAAAAATTAAGTTATTCTTTATATATCTGACTATATCTTCAATTTAATCATTTTGTTTAGAATGTAGGATGTGGTAAAGCTGATTGTTGTAAATTGAACAACGTTGACACTACTTTCAACCATAACTTTTCACAAGTAGGTTAAAATTTGCGATACTATTCTCAGTATAAGGTGCTCAATACAAATTTAACTTATTTAAATTCATTTATAATACAAGATAAAATTCAAAAAATATGATCCAACTCAAGAATTAATCTTTCCTCCATCACTAATGAAATATATGTCGGAACCTTTACATTTTTATGGTAGCAAAACAAAATGGTTCAAACCTGTTAATTTGAATCAACTATTATCCTTGAAAGCAGAATATCCGAACGCTACTCTAGTATCCGGTAATACTAGAATTGGTATAGAGACAAAATTTATGAATAAAAAACATAATATTCAAATTTATGTGGGTGATATACCCGAATTAAAATCCTGGGAATTTGAAGGTAAATAATAAATTTAATATTTGAATGTTTGATTTATAATTTACCAATATTTATTTTTAATTTAGAGGGTGGATTGTCTCTTGGCGCAAATATGAGCATTTCTCAAATCCGAACTGTTTTAAAAGAAGCATGCAATCATTATAAGGTTTTAGAAAACAAGCTTAAATTATTGTCTTTTTGTGTATTAAAAATATTTTAAATTCGCTGAAATTATATTTATTTCTATTATTAAAGCCTCATCAAATCCAAATATTTAAAGCATTCTTAGAAAATCTTCAGCGATTTGCTACTAATCAAATTCGCAATGTTTCCACACTGGGTGGAAATATTATCGCTAACTCTTCAACTTCTGACCTAATTCCTCTACTTCTTTCATCTAAAGCTATATTTTCACTTACTTCTTTACAATCTACATTACTAAAAAGTCGATCTGTTCCATCTGTATCTTTTTGGACAGGATATAAGCAAGATTGTAGAGAAAGTTCTGAAATCTTAGAAAAGGTTTTTATTCCATGTTCGAATTATGGGCAATATATTAGAGCTTATAAACAGTCTAAAAGGTATTATGCCGATAATGCCATCGTCAATGCTGGGTTATCAATATCATTAGATGATAATGCACATGTGCAAGATGCTAAATTTTCTTTTGGAGGAATGAGCGGAGTTGTCGTCAGAGCTCCAAAGTCTGAAAATTTTATTTTGGGTAAAAAGTGGGGTGATGAAGATGTGTTAAAACAGCTGATTGAAATATTATGCGAGGTATATACATAAAAAATTTTTGTTAGATAATTATATAAGTTATATATATCTTATTAAAAATGTTTATTTCATTATTATTTATTTATTGAATTTGATAGGAATTTCAATTAAGTTTTTCTGTTACTGGTGGAATGGCAACGTACCGTAAAACATTAGTAGTTGGGTTTATGAATAAGTTTTGGTATGACGTTACAAAATCTGCAAACATAGCATCGATTAGTCCTGATATAGAAAATTGTATTGGAGAAATCAAACGTGGTGTTTCTAAAGGTATTCAAACTATAGGAAGGCCAGAGTAAATATTTTTTTCAATATTTTCTGATAATAATAGTGCGGTAAATTAAAAGTAGGATATAGTGTAATATTGATAGTGAACTTGTAGTGCATTTAGTTCATTTATTCAAACTAAGATTGTGCTTATAAACTATTTAATAGAAAAGGTAATAAAATTGTTGGTAAACCAATTTCTCACGCGTCTTCTATGAAACAAACAACTGGTGAAGCGTTGTATGTTGATGACATACCAAAGATCAACGGAGAATTGTATGGAGCTTTAGTTACATCACAGAAGGCCCATGCTAAAATATTAAAGTAAATTTCATACTTTTTTTAAACAAATCTATGGTTTAATTTGATTATAAGTAATAAATGTAATAATTGTTATTTTCACTATTATCTTTTTTAAAAAAATAGCATTGATACAAATCAAGCATTAAATATACCTGGAGTAAAAGGATTTTTTTCAGCGAAGGATGTACCTGGAAACAATTCCTGGGGAGTTATTATACCAGATGAAGAAGTTTTCGCATCTAAAGAAGTTTTTTACGTAGGCAAGTTGAATTTATTTATTATCATCATCTAGATATTTAATAACATGGTTTCAATTCGAAACATTAAATTATTGTACACATATATATAGGACAAATAATTGGATTAATAGTTGCTGAAACAAAAAAAATTGCACAAGAAGCTAAAGATTTAGTGAAAATCGAATATGAAGAATTACCTCACATTTTAACTATTGAAGAGGCAATTGAACAAAATAGCTTTTTCCCGATGACTCCTCAACTTGCACGAGGAGATGTAGAAAAGGGGTTTCAAGATGCCGATTATATATTTGAAGGTATGTAATGCACAAGAATGAAAAGACTATAAAACACAATATTTAAATGTTTAATTTTGTTATTCAGGTGAAACTAGATCAGGTGCTCAAGGTGAATTTGTTTTTAACAATTCTGTATTATCGTTATAAATAGTTTGTTAAACCTAACTCTTTTCTTGTTATTAGAACATTTTTACATGGAAACCAATTCAGCATTAGTAATTCCAAAACATGAAGATGATGAATTCGAAGTTCATTCAGGTACTCAAAATCCCTCTTCAATTCAAGAAAAAGTTGCTGGGGTACTCGGTATCACAAACAATAAGGTCGTAAGTCGGGTAAAAAGAGTGGGAGGAGCTTTTGGTGGAAAAGAAACAAAAGGTCCTTATTTAGCACTGGCATTAGCAGTTGGTGCTTGGCATCTTAAAAAGCCTATTAGGTGCATGTTAGAACGTAATGAAGATATTACTATAACAGGACAAAGACATCCTTTCTTGGGAAGATGGAAAATTGGTTTAAATAAAGATGGAAAAATTTTAGCGTTGGACTCTAAGGTAATAATTTCTATAAATTTGTCTTTTTTCATCCTATATAATTTTTTATAACAAATTTTGTTATATTTTAGTTTTATGCTAATGCTGGATGGTCATTAGATATGTCTCCTGTTGTAGTTCGAGCTTGTATATTTAGCTCTGATGGTTGTTATTATATTCCGAACTTACAGTTTATTGGATATCCTTGCAAGACCAATATTCATTCAAACACAGCATTTAGAGGATTTGGAAAACCTCAAGCAATATTTATTCTTGAAAGTATGTTGAGTGAGGTTGCCGAACGTATGGGTATTGATGTTAATGAATTGAGGGTATGTGATTTATAATATTTCATATATGTGTGTAATTACCTTTAATACATTAATACAGTAATAAAATACTTATATTTTGAATAGGAGAAGAACTTATACGTAGAAGGTCAAAAAACACCTTATAACCAAACTTTGGAAAATTGGTATTTGCCCTCAGTCTATCAACAAGTCAAAGAAACCAGTGAATTTGAAAAACGAAGGAAAGAAATTGCCGAATTTAATTCGAATAATAAATGGCGTAAAAGAGGCTTGGCACTTATACCAGCCAATTTTGGTGTTACTTTTCCTGTATTGCATTTGAATCAAGCTGGGGCTTTAGTACATATTTATACTGATGGGAGCGTTCTTATAAGTCATGGTGCATATTATTATTATTATTATTTCTTTTTTCATTTTTATATAAGCTTTTGCATGAATTTTGATAGTTATTTTCCTTATATTTTATAATTAGGTGGCGTTGAGTTAGGACAAGGGCTTAACACAAAGATGTTGCAGATTGCTTCTGAAGCATTAGATGTTCCTATTAATGCAGGCAAAAAAATCTCTTTATTGATGTGCATCAATATCGCATATACATTATATATTTATCTTATATTTTTGCTTTTTTGCCAAATATAGTTCATTTAATGGAGACTGCCACAAACCTAATCATTAATACATCACCTACAGCCGGAAGTGTTGCTAGTGATATTAATGGATACGCTGTTCACAATGCTTGTAAAATTTTGGCTGAAAGATTAAAACCATATCGAGAAAAAATGCCAGACAAGAGTTTTGGAGAGGTATCTAAATATTACTGTATTAGATAGTAATAAATTTGATATGTAATTTTATTTTTATGCAATACTTAAATTAATTAATATATCTAGATTGTTAAAGAAGCATACCTTGATCGAGTAAACTTATCAGCCAATGGATTTTACAAAACTCCTGATGTCGGTTATAATTTAGAAAAAAATGAAGGACAAATGTACCTCTATTATACTACGGGAGCAGCATGTACAGAGGTTGAGATTGATACATTGACAGGTGACCATATAATTTTAAGAACAGATTTATGCATGGATATTGGTAGAAGTTTAAATTATGCGATAGATGTTGGACAAATTGAGGGGGCTTTTGTGCAAGGTGGTGGATGGTGTACCACTGAAGAAACATTACACTTTCCAGATGGACATTTACTCACCAAAGGGCCTAAAAATTATAAGATTCCTGGTGCTAGGTTTATTTATATTTATTTTTTCTTCTAATTTGCTTTATTCTTTTAATGTAAATTCTAAGTTAATTTTACGTGCTTTAGGGATATACCTCAAGATTTCAGAGTATATACATATGAAGGTGCAAAATCGTCTAATTTAAAAACAATTCATAGTAGTAAAGGAGTTGGTGAGCCACCATTACTTTTAGGATGCACAGTATTTTTTGCTATAAGGGATGCTATTACAGCCGCAAGGTATTTAATTTCTTGATTACCTTTTTGATGATTTATTCAATAATTTATCCATTTCATTTATTATTTTAACTATTTTTAAAAAGAAAATGTAATAACAACAAAACCCCAGTAGTTTTAAGGTTACCTGCAACACCCGAAAAGATTCGAATCGCTTGTGATGATGAGATTGTGAGGAAGTGTAAGGTTGAGAAAAAAGATGGTGAAATTGCGTGGGTTATTGAGGCTTAAATGCAAACTCATAATT